GAGAGAGAGAGAGAGAGAGAGAGAGAGAGAGCTAACGGGACAAGTGTCAAAGCAAGTAATTGCAATTTGCAGTTTAGTTCGGCACGCTGGCAGACTTTAGTAATTAAGACGTGGGTGGAGGGCGGAGGGTGCAGGTTGAAATAAATCGTTCCGCCGCGACGAAGATGCGCTCGATCCTCGACGAAGCTGAGCGTGTAATGAAAACTGCGGACTGCCGCTCGGTTCGTCGGGTCGCCGACGTGAAAGGAGAATTCTGGAAAAGGTGAAAGGAGACGGCAAACGAGAGGCACAGCCGAAAGGAGAAATTGTTTCTTTCCGTCGAAGAGGAAATTATTAGAAATTTCTCAACTCCTTGAATTTTTCAATTTCACCTTCAACGCTTCCATCAGGACTGAAACAATCTTACGCATGAAAGAGTACATTTGGATCAGCGTCGTCTCTCTCGGTGATATCGACAGAGCGTGCGGCTGATAGACAAATCGGAACGCAATGTGTTTGACTGTTGGCGACGCGATTTCCGTGTGACGTTGTCGAAACGTATTTGCTGCGAAACGTCGGAGGGAAAATCGGTGTAAACGATATACGGTCTCTCGCCGATCCCTGACAGCTCAAATTCCCAACGTTGAGAGACGAGAGCTTCCGCCGAGTTTTCGTTCGTTAAATATTCGCTCGGATGAAGCAACGAAATAGAAAACCAGCGACGCGGTAAGCGGATTAGTGTCGAAACGTCTTTCACCGATCGAGAAGACGAGACGCGGACGATCGACGTTCTTTCGAGCGATCGGCGGAAAGCTTTCCTGCGGAACCGCGTTGACAACAACAACCGCGTGAAACTGAAAGATGGAGAGAAATTAGCCGAGGTAATTAAAGGCAATTGATGGATCTCCTGGGGGTTGAAATTCGACGCGATTTGCGTATATCTTTTACGTCTGCCCGCTTTCACTGCCGTTTTTCAAGCGTATGTGGCAACGTGTACAGCGTGTCGACTGGGGAATTATTGTGGAATGTGCTTCGCCAACGTGTGTGTGTGTGTGTGTGTGTCTGTATGTGTGTGTGTGTGTGTGTAGCTTTTACGAGCGGAAAGATGGTTGTTCCATGGGAAATTTTCTGAATGGTAATTCGCGTCCCGGTAGAAACATGGGTGATATTATTCGTGTAGATATACTGCTGTTAGATTGCGCATTGCGTAACTTTAAATTTGCCGACAAGTAGTTACCGACTGAATGTTACTTTTCTATACACGACGGACGATTAGTAGCTCTGATTAGATTTTGTTTTACGTTTTCTCGTGCTACGTTTAAAACACAAGCAAATGCTATTTTATTTCACTTTTATAGCTTTTAACCCAACGTGTTATGAACAACTACACTGATTTGTAAAATAACGCGACTAAAGACTTGAAATAAGCCTTAAACTCATTAAAGTTACATTGGCTCTGAGTCGAGTAGAAAAATTTCAACGTGTTTCGAGAAATCCCCGAACACATTATAATTTGACAAATCTGGCTTCGACGAATTCTCCAGAAGTAAATTCTTACAATTTACAAACGTCTCGAAATTCCGAGGGAATATAATTCTTACCATGAAGCTGTCGTCCAAAGAGGTGGGCGTAAAAACCGAAAGGGAGGAAGAAACACGAGGAACCGCGGTAAACAATCGACGATGTAGCTGTTGGCCAATGGGTTGACCGCAGACTGCACGGTTGAACGTCGTTTTCCTCGGCAGCGAGCTCGTCAGCAGTGCGCCCGTCTGCCTGCCATTTTTCTAGATGATAAGGATGATGCCTCGGGTCGGTCGACGAGCATCGGTGTAAACGAAATTGTCGAGAAAATGATGGGAACCCGCGCTCGCGAAGCTAGTTGCGGTCGCAGGTTGCATCTCTTCTCAGTCTAGCTCGAGTTCATTCAGAGCAGGAGTTTCGATATGAGAATACACGATCTTTCGTGGTAGCTTCAGTCGAATATTAACAGGTTATATTATTATATATATATTATTAAAATATCTAGATACTCGTGAACGACAAATTTCTGACTTTTTGGTAATTTTACACTGTCTTTTCTAAGAACATTTTCAATATCACGGCCAAAATTATCTGCCTTTTCTGGGAGAATTTCCGAGATAACACCCTGTATAAGAATCATGAATATGAAAAGACACTTTTGTACCTTGTCGAACCTCTCAGTATTTTAATATTCAGTATTACGCGTCTTTAACTTTTCATAACGAATCGCGGATCGTTGACAAGCCCAGATCGCTTGCGCTTTCCTGACGTTCAATGCTGGTGTTCTGATCAGTATTTTTTTTGTAATAATCTCCTTCTACCACACTAACTCCGTTCTCGCGAGATGGGCAATTTTTATTCACTTTGAATCTTGTACTGTTCTTGTACTCAAAAGAGTGTTTCTGACGAGTGAATGCAGAAACGTACATTTAGGAAAAATGTAGACTCGCGAAAAGGAATTTCTAATGGGAGCATTGATCAAATATTCATCGGTGCTCTATCGCATCTTTGTGTCTTCTACCTTGTTCCGCGGGACCGTCGTCGTGCATGTATCACTTTCTCAAATTTGCCATCTTCTCTGTTTTTCGTTTCTATCACAAGTGTATCTTGAAATGTTTCGTTGCAATCGTTTCATCGCATCGAGTCGAATCTAATGATCGAAACTTCCATTCAACGGGCAAGTCGTAAACACGACGTTAACGTGCAGCAGGCGCGTAGAACGCTGTATTTCCTCCGTGCCATTTACCTTGTTCCGCGCTCACCTGCTACCAGCTTGTATTCTCAACTTGATTGTCGATGCCTCTAAATCAACGTAGTTTCCTGTTCCTTGAATTAGCCATCAGGCACCGTGAGGAAGAGACGACGACTTTCAGCATCCAACTCCTTCTCCTTATCGCCCGGTTCGCTGTTAATTCGACGTAGATCCAGTTAAAGATGACGAAAAATTTAGCGCCGTCTTGCTGAATTAGTGCCTCGTAAATTACGATGTTCAAAAATTATCTTGGATTTATCGTCGCGTAAGCGGCTTGAATTCAACGACCTGCGAGTCTAACGAATCGATCAATTTTACAGTTAAGCTACTCTTTGTCGTTGTTATTATTACATTAAATATAATTTTCTATGGCAATCCAAATACAATCCAAGCTCTCCTTTTTACTTTTCCTCTTTCTCTTCCGTCCGATCCAACTCTCTACATGTTAAATACACGAATTCGTCAGGCGTGTAATTAAAGCGGCACTATTGTATACCGTAATGTTACGGCATTCTCGCGACCAAGTTACAAGGCGAAGCAACGTCAAGCATAAAAGTAAGCGGCGAGTGCACGCGAAACTGTAGACTGAACGTCATTTCGTGGCCAATATATCGATTGAAAATTTCGATCTTTCTTCATCTTTCTTCATCTGTCGTGCGTTTACACTTTCGACATAAATGAAATCACGGGAGGGCAGAAACGAGCGAGCATCGTCCCAGTCGGAGGTTAATTTGTCTCGAAGTTCAAAGGAAACAGCGTTTTTCGAGCAACGACGTATCTTCTGTCTCCTGCGAGTCGAGCATAAACCTCCACTTCTGTCCTACATTTTCGAGTCATTTCAAACTTAAAGATTACAAGTAAGACTTTTTTTTCCATCTTTCGGTGAATATCTATCTAATACCCTAGAAATTACGAACTCTTTTTACAAGATGGAAAGCAAGTTGCAGGACTGTTCAATTTCATAGCACTCGTTCACAAATCTCACTATATAGTTCACCACAACCGCAAAGTTACTCGTCTCTTGGAACGAGAGTTCGTAACATGGCGACTGCGAAGCGATTTTTGTTGTGATTTTGGCAACGAAGTACGCGAAGTTACGCAAACTAACACTCGACGGAGTGGTATATGCACTTGGTTCGGACAAAATTAAGGGCATCATCGTTTTAATTAAAATCCCCTCTCCCCTTGGTTGTGGAACGCTATCAGTTTATGCAAATTTCGTTGATAAATGGCCCAGCCCGATACACGATGAAGTTCGCCCGGTTATCTCGATTCTTGCGACTAGTTCTACTCTCGCACTTTTAAACGCTACTCAGTCGCAGAACTTTCGTCGGACCGCGTCTATTTGTGTGGGTGGTTGCATCTCTCTGTTTAGAGAGAAAAAGAGCGTTTCATTGGCTTCATTTGTTCGCCGTTGCGAAATACGAATCGGAAATATACAAGTGCAGTGTGTTTAATGAGAAACGTGCACGCTATTTCTTTGGAAAAGAATATTCCTTTGTACAGGAACAGCTAAAATATCATCACGCACTCAGTTAACCCTTTGGCTACGGTAGACTTTCACACGTACTATAGCAGTTCAATCGCGACCTAAAGGCGACTTGATATTTTGTGAGCATACATTCCTTCTAAATTCGCGTATTTCTCTTATCTGATTAATTTATTACCACACCTTCTCATTTCAAGGGTATTAAATGAAATAACTGTAAAATAATCACGTTCAGATAATACATGGCTAACGGAAGATGCAATTGTTGAATTATAATTCACTTCGCGTCTGATCCAATATTTCTTTGTTGCAATTATTGTCAATAACATTTTGGTCGTCGAACTAAGTGCTAACGGTGGAGATTGGACAGACTATTAATCGAGTGTGTATTT